CCTCCTGCATCGACAAGGAAAAACTCTTAAAAAACCCAGTGGGAAAAAGTGAGAAACCTTGGGGAGAACTAGGGAAACCCACAGGGAGGGAGACCCATATGAGAAAGGGATCCGCTCCTCCGGACGGACAGGCTAATGATCTAGGACCTAAGCTAGCTACAGGACGTGGACCAGTGGCCGCTGAACGTGGACAGCTCCGGTGCAGGACCAAAGCACTCCCAGGCGGGTCGGGCGGGGCAGTCCGCAGGTGTAGATGGAGGAGGCCAGGCTCAGAGATCCCGTCATCGTACCATGAAACAGACAATGGGACAACGGGTGAATAGCAATGAACAAACTACAGTCAGAATCCTAAAAATGCTAAACAGATAAAGTAGGAAGGAGGAGAGGATAGTGCTCAACTATCGTCCCATTTCAAATCTGCCATTCATGGGGAAAGTCCTTGAAAAGATTGTCTTCCAACAGCTTACTAAATTTCGTATAATCAACAGCTCTTTTGACATGTTTCATTCCGGCTTTAGACCCCACCACAGCACTGAGACTGCTCTCGTTACGGTAACAAATGATATCCGGCTGAACACTGACACAGGAAAAGACTCGATCTTAATCCTGTTAGATCTGAGTGCAGCTTTTGACACCGTCAACCATGAGATCATCTTACAGAGACTAGAGTACTGGGTTGGTGTCGCTGGCACCGCCCTAAGTTGGTTTAGGTCTAACCTTGAAGTACTTTGTGGAGATTGGAAACTGTCTCAGATCATATGGCCCTGACCTGTGGAGTACCACAGGGGTCGATCCTAGGACCTCTTCTGTTCAATCTCTACATGCTGCCGTTAGGACTCATTGTTTCTGCGTATTAACTGACCTATCACAACTATGCAGACAACACTCAGATCTATGTCTCACTTACTGCAGGAGAACAATGACCAGTGGACTCACTCCTTCACTGTATATGCCTTTTCACAGATTGAACAGCTGAAGGGTCTCTCTCCTGTGTGAGTCCTCATGTGTTCTTTGAAATATTTCTTAGTTACAATGCCTTTTCACAGACTGAACAGCTGAAGGGGCCAAACTTTCTCCAGCTAAACGCAGACAAAACTGAAATGATTGTCTTTGGTCCCCAGAAACAAAGAGAGAGCCTCATCTGTCACCTACAGTCTCTATCTGGTCTGAACACTGAAATTTAGAGAATGTGCGTCTGATGCGCGTGGAAACTTCGTTCCAGTTACTGGGGTGTCATTACAAGGTGTCATTTGACTTCGTAATGACTGACCTAAAATGCTGTTGAATAGAATTATGTATACATTTTTTGTATGAATGGATGTGTATCTGCTGCCAGAAACCTGAATTTCTCTATCTCTTTATGTAATCAATGCAGTCTCATGCAATGCAATTGATTCTATCTTTTTAACACGTAAGCGTGGGTCTGGAGAGCCCGTGTGCCCGGACGGGACTTCACCTGCGGGGTATACTCTTGACAGCTGGAACAAGTTTCAGCCCCTCTGTCTGTCGACCCTGTCCATTGAAGATTCGGAAGACGTATATATCTTTGGCCTTTTGGTGGTGGGGATCCTCCTGTTTGGGTTTGGAGCGGTTCTCTTCTACCATAAATTCAGAGGCATGGCAGTTCGCAAGATTCACGACCTGCTGGCCGACAAAATTGATGGGATGTACAAGGAGCTTAGCCGAGTCGTGGTTGAGAGTGCCGTGTCTGGACAAAGGAGAGGGGTTTTGGTGGAACAGTTGATAAAAGACCTCGCAGCTCGTTCACTCGAAGGGAATACAACTCTGGAGTTGAGATTGAATGACATTGTGTGTCAGGCTTGAACTCTCTGACCCGGCTTGGATTTGCCCCTGTGTACGGAGGTCTGAGGGCGCCGCAATTCGGATTAATTGGATTTAATAGAATATCTGCCTGCTTTTGACTGCTACATTGCATACAAAATTGTCCCCCTCAGGCGATGTTTTTCTCCTGCTGTGTCTTCTCTCCACTCTTATCTCACATTCCTCGGCCAAGGCCATAATAACAAGGTCCCATCTACAACAATCTCACACTATTTCAGTCCAGCTCGGATCCCCTCCCCCCGCCTCCCTCTACCTATCCATCTTGCTCCCTCCCTCCCCTCATTGTGTTTCCGACTCACCCCCTCCCTGACCCCGCCCCCCTCTGACAGCCACATTCGGCAGTCGGAGGTGCTCATCCCGAGAAAAAAATCCGTGGTTTATACAAAGCACAATGTGTCTATCCAACTGTCTGTGAAACTGTATGTTATTGCTCTCTGCTGTTTATTCTACTGTTTGTCGCATGGCGCCGTAAAGATGGCGCCGTGGCAAGAGCTCTGGTGTGTGTCGTCTTCTCTGTCTGGTGCACACCGGGGTAGTCTTGCACAGTTTTTTCAATGTGGTTTTACTGCAAATGGCAAATGAAATGAATCTGAATCTGAATCTGAATCAGTACAGTGTAGTGTACAGTACAGTCTCATCTTGTAGATCCGAGCTCTAGGATGTGAGATGAGAGGTCCAACCTCTAACTAGACTAGCCATTCCCAAAGTCAGTAACACCACGGCCCCCTTAAAAATGTGACGGGTCTGGGCGGCCCCCCGAAATAATAACCATAAGGCAACGTTAAAAATAGGCTCTTCTCATCATGTAAAAGACGCACCCCATTTTGATTACAATTTGATTATTCAAGTCAAATGATGAACACAAACATTTTAATATTACAAACTAAATATTATGAATACAATAATTATATATTTTTTGAATATTTTTTGATGACTTCTCGCGGCCCCCCTGCAATACGACCCTACTTTGGGAGACACTGAACAAGACAATAGACAACTCAAAGGGGGAGTCAGTTCAAGTAAAGTGCTTCTGCAACATAAATAAAAAACCCTGATTACATTAATAGTAATGCATCAACTCGGCGATCTGTGTTTTATTTTTAGCTGCGTATAAAGTTTACAATCTCTGGTATAAAGCAACGTTGTTGACGACAAAACTGCTGTATGAAATACAAAGGACTCTGACGCTAAACCACCTGCACTTCTGTCATATTCTGTCATAAGTTTGTTTCCTTTGAGCATGTTTACGTCTTTGTCTTGAATGAGACACGTGCGAGAGAAGGCAAACAAGCGAAGCAGCGAACGTGAAACGTTTTTTTCAGTTTGAATGTTTAGCACCGCCCCCCCAACTCGCTTACAGGCTCACAATGTGATGCGTTCACCCCCCCTTAAACCAATGGGATGCGTTCATGGTCAGCACTAGATCATATACGGAATTGGGACGGAAGCGGAAGTAAATATGACAATACCTATGCATGCCTAAACTTAACCAGCCATTCCCATAAAATAACCCCAACCCAGCCTTAACCCTAACCTTACCCAGACACCTTACTGTAAACTTAACCAGTCACCATTTAAGGACTTTTTAGTCTAAAACTAATTCGAAAGTAAGATTGTTACTTCCGGTTTTGTCCCAATTCCGAATATGATCTAGTGCCGACCATATACTAGTGCCCCTTCTCCCTTCCTGCTTTTCGTCAGTGCCTGTCTTAGTTGTTATTGAGTCGGATTTTCTAAAACACCTACAGTGGCTGAACGAAAAACCCCCAAAGAGCCACAACGAATGTACTTTCTACGCAGAAACCTGTCTGTACAAAACAGAAGCCGTATGGGAAAATTGTGAACAACAAATATATGAAAGACAGGTCCTTATTATAATTGTATTAAATTGACCTCCTGGGCTTAAATGTTGATATAACATAAGTAATTTTATGAAGTATAATGTTACGTATAAGTCCCGCCTTCCCTTATCTTAGCTATAGCTCAAAATCCCCAATGCCGATCAAGTGATGCCAAGGGCTGTCAATCATTGCGCTCATGCTCATTTATAGTTTGAATATTAAATATATATACATATATTCAAACGAAAATTAGACAGCCCTTAATATTCAAAGCTGTAATGGGCATTCATCCATCCATTTTCTTCCCCTTAATCCATTTCTGGGTCGAGGGGGTGGCAGTCAGAGCTGCACCCAGTACACAGAGCACCAGCCCCTCACTGATCCTCCTGCAGGTGGTGAGTCCACAGGAGCTAACTCTCTGGAACTACATGAAAAGTGAACAAAGAATTCTCATCAATTCTCATCACAAAGAATTCTCATCAATTCAATAAAGTTCAGTCTGTCTTGTACATCTGCGGTCACCCCCTGAGGATGGAATTTTAACTGCTCCCCTCTGGGAGAAGGTATCGGCTTCCCAGGGCTAGAACAAATCGTTTCAAATGCTCATTTGTGGTTTCTGCAGTTCTGTTGAATACACACTTTTAAAGATTTACACATGTTTCCTCTCGATTAAGCTGTGATATGCCGTAATACGTGCCATACTCAATGTGATAATTGTAATTATTGTCTTGTATTGTTATTAGTATTTATTTTATTGCTCTACCACATGCAAACAATTTTCCCCTTGGGGACAATAAGGTTTTTGAGTTGAGTTGAGTTGAAGCAGGAAGTGAGTGCACATTAGTCCAGTTATCAGGTCTCTGCACTGGCTTCCTGTGGCTAAGAGAGGAGACATGGAGAGACTTCATGTCACAAAATTATATGACTGTTTTCAATGATGTGATTTCAATGTTGTGATTACAACTTTCACATGCAATTGGTTTGTTGAATGTATTGTAAAGCAGTGGTACGCTTCGTTCAAATTCTGTTTTACAAATAAATGATGATTCGTTCTGGGGATCAAAATCTCAGCTATCTTGCTGTGGGGCCTGAGTGGTAACCAGCCGACATGGTGTTGGTTATCATCTTACATACACCCCAAAGCTGCCTCGGCCTTGAGTACCTGTCTTCAGGGATTTGGCGTGTTTCTTATGGACTGAATAAGTACTGCATCCGATTGTGAAGCATCTTTTAAAGTACAATATAACGACTACAACGCCAGCATGCTCAAGCCTCTCTATCCAAGGCTGAAGTCAAAGATCTGCATTTGTCCTGCAGGGTCTTCTGTCTGAGATCCTGCGGAAAGAGGAAGACCCTGCGCACGCATCCCAGTCACTGCTGGTCAACCTGCGGGCCATGCACAGCTTCCTCCAGCTGCCCGAGGCCGAGAGAGAGCGTATCTACCAGGAGGAGAAGGAGCGCAGTGTGACAGCGTTTGGAGCCAGCCTGTCATCTGGGGGCCCAGCGTGTGGAGGCTCTACCTGTGGAACTCCTCCCCGCACACAGGTCACTTAAGCCAGGACAACCACATGTGTCACCGAGTATGCTATACAGAACTAGAATCATGCTCTTGTGTGTTCACATTTGCCCTTAAACATGGATCTTGAAAATGTGTATTTTGGCCTAAAAAGATAATGAGAGATAAATAATAATACTTAAGGGGATATAACCTATAAATCATTTTTTCCTCGCTTTTGGTCATGTTATTGTTGGTTCCCCTTACACACGCTGCAGTTCAACACCTGACTACAGACACCGAGCACCTCCCCTTTGTTTTACCTACTTTCTTTGACAATTTTCTTTTCTGAATATGTGCTTTGCCAACACCATGTAAGGTGTGGGTGAAGAGTTGCTGGCCACGACTGGGGATATTATTGGGTGGGAGAAGTACAGTATTTCAAGGTTCTCCTCAATTCCCCCGTCACGTCATGAGGCAGAAGCTTCAAGGATGAGATCCGCAGCTATTTTTCCGGGGGGCATGAGAAAGAGAAAATGTTGTGGCCGCAGCATGTGGCGTTCACTAAGGCTTCAGAGAGGTGGACGCATGTTATTATTATAGAATATAGATCCATGATGTAGTTCAGAGACTGCATCGCTCTGGCAGGGTGCTCTGGGATCCGCGGCTGTACCGTCTCTCTGTGTGTATGTGTGTGTCTATCTCTGCCTATCTCCGTGTGTACGTGTATTTGTGTGATATGTAGCAGTCCTGTACCTAATTATAGCTAATCTTCATAAAATACAACTAAAAACGTCTCACATTAGTAAATACTTTGTTTCATAAAGTCATATCTGTGGTCATATCTTATCTGTGGTGAAATCAGACACATCAATGTTGTGTGTGACGTGGAACACGTTTGCTGCGTCGATTTGCATATTGTCCCCTAGATCCATGGGTGTCCCATTTCTTAGGGAGAACATCCTACGACTGCCCTTCCTGATGGCAGGGCACTTTTCTGTTGCTGAAGGAGGAAGCGTAGCCTCTGAGGAAAGCAAGCTGGTCTGCTCGCACGGAGCCGTACCTCCAGGTCCCCGGTGCCGTCCATTTTCTTAGCGAACATGAAGTCCCTTCTGAACAAATCAGATGACCTCGCGAGCCGTATCCGAGTCCAGAGAGAGGCTGCAGAATGCGCTGCGTTCTGCCTTACGGAGACTTGGCTCCACAGCGGTGTTCAGGACTCTGCGTTTCTGCCACCTGGCTTCCATATGGACAGGGATAAGGAGTCCACGGGAAAAAGCAGAGGAGGTGGGGTATGTATCCTTCTCAACCAGCGCTGGAGCACAATGTCGTGATTAACAGTTTTTGTTCAGCTAACCTAGAATGTATTGTGCTAAAATGTCGCCCTTTCTTTCTGCCTCGGGAACTGACTGTAGTGTCTCTGCGTTGTGTTTCCATCCACCCCCGAGTGGACTCCGATGATGCACTAAATGACTAGAGTGAGTTTTTTGCAAAAATGCGAGAGGGCTTATCCCAAAGCAGCCATAATTGCAGCGGGCGACTTCTACAAATGTAACTTACAATCAGTGCTCCCTAACTTTCACCAGCATGTGTCTATGCCTACAAAGGGTGCTCGCTTTCTGGATCACTGCTATAGTAATCTAAAAGGGGCCTTTAAGTCTTACCTCAGACCAGCGTTCGGGAGGTCTGACCACTCTTCTGTGCTGCTTCTGCCATCATATATACAGAAGAGCAAGCTACAGAAACCATCCTTTCGTTCTGTTCAGTGTTGGTCAAACGACGCAAACTTAAAAGCTCCGCACAACGAGCTCAAAAACTTTTACTGTCGCTTTGAAGCCACTGATCCTTCACCTGACGTCTTCCATGACTGTACAGACCAAGCAGCCTTTACAGTGACGCAGGAGGAAGTGCAGCGGGACCTGTCCAGAACCCTGACCCGAAAAGCTGCTGGCCCAGACGGTATCCCCCCTCACATTCTGAAGCTGTGTGCAGAACAACTCGCCCCTGTGCTAACAGACATGTTTGACTTGTCACTCAGGAACTGCACGGTGCCGGCCTGCTTTAAAAAGTCCACCATCATCGCGGTTCCAAAGAAAACTCCAGTGACGGGCCTTAATGACTATCGTCCGGTTGCCCTCACGTCTGTTCTAATGAAGACGTTTGAGCGGCTTGTATTGGACTTCGTTAAGAGCCAGAACCCCTCAGGTACCGTTCTGCTCCAGTTTGCGTACAAAGAAAAAAGGAGCGTTGAAGACGCGATATTTTGCACTGAAGCAAGAATGCTGCTTTTTGATTATAGCTCTGCTTTTAACTGTCTAGTCCCAGGTAAACTGGTTGAAAATCTCAGATCCCTCGGCCTGTGCGAAGTCATGTGTAAAAGTATTTACATCTTTCTCACTAGCATATCTCAGAGAGTTAGAATTGGTGGCTGTCTCTCAGATGTAGCGTTTGTAAGCACCGGCTGTCCTCAGGGGTGTATTCTGAGTCCTCTACTTTTCTCATTATACACCCATGACCAATTTGATAGTCAAATATGCAGATGACACCACCATTATTGGTCTCATCAGCGAGAACGACAAATCTTCATACAGAGCAGAGGTTGAGAATGTTGTCAACTGGAGTAAAGACAACAACCTCCCCTTGAACACGTCCAAAACATGTGAACTGGTGTTCGACTTCAGTCGTGGTCACTATCTCCCACTCACCTGTGGAGATTGTTGAGGAGTGTAAGTTCCTTGGTCTAACTTTGTCCAACGATTTGAGATGGGACAAAAACACCAACCATATTGTTAAGCAAGCTCGCCAACGTGTATACTTTCTGCGGAAACTTAGGGAATTCGGTGGTTCGGCAGCATCACAGTCATAGAAAAGAGAGCTCTGAACAAAGGTCCGTTCTGCTCGGAGGACTGTAAACAGTGAGATGCCTCTTTATGAGAGCAGACTCTAAAACCAAGCCCTGGTGATTGTTAATGGCCATCCTGAAGCGGCCTTGATCCAGTCTTTTCCCTCGGGGAGAAGATTCCAGGACTACCCGCCATGCGAATAGCTTCGTCCCTCAGGCGGTTATAAGACTGAATAGAGCGCCTTGAGATCTGCTTCTCTTTGTAGCTCCTTCGTAACTTGATAATAAGGCTTTTATGAGTTTTATATGTGCCTCACTGTGTCTCGCTATTTTTTTTCTTTTTGTCTGTGTGTGGGTGTGCTTTGTGGTGTTGGTGCCCCCGGTGTCTCCTGTTTGTGTTCCAATGTAGTTTTTTCTGCAAATGGCAATAAATTCTTATTCTGAAATACATTTTTTAACATTTCTTAGTTTCTTGATTTTTTTTTTTTTTTCCAATGTTGATTCCAATTTCTCCACTGTGAGACAAATAAAGGAATAGCTTATCTTATTTTAACCTATAGTTGAGGTATACAGTATATGATAAAAACTACAAGCAACTCTCATATTTTTAAGTGGGAGACCTTGCACAATTGATTGCTGAATAACTTTTTTTGCCCACTGTATGAGGCTTTTTGGACACACAAATGGACGGGTTAAACTGCTCAATCAAAAAATAGAAAGCTAAACAAAAACAGCCTCTGCAGTTTTAAGCGGGTCAGGATTTGAGCAGTTATTTGAAGTCCTGAAGTGAGTCTGAGTTCCTGATGTGTTGTGGTAGTTCCAGAGAGTGGCTACAGTGATAGCTTGATAAAGAAAGTTGTGGTCCATTCATTGTCAGAAAGAGTTAGGTTGGATTTGGTATAAATTAGCGATGCACCGACACGATACTGGTATCAGGTCGATACCTTAGGCTTGTACTCAATTTTATACTCATACCATAGGGCCCGATGCCGGAACGGATACCCACATTTTAAATTTACATTAGCGTCACGACAGCAGACAGCTTAGCTGGATCTCGGCCGTATGGCAGTTTTTTTTTAGTAAACGAGTGACAAGAGTAAAGCGGACTTTATGTTGTGTAAGGTAAAACCGTCACAAGGTGAGTCCAAACAGCAAATTGATCAAACATCTGAAAACTCACCAGCACACGGAGTATAGCAGCAGAGCACAAAACAACTCTACAACATAGCATTTGTATGAGTGGAATATGACAGTGGCTGTTATTGTTGACTTTTAAAACAATCGCTAAAATGTTTCATTGTTGAAGCATTTTCTTATCGTTAAATTTCAGTTGTATTAGTTTTATGAATTCCCAGGGATAACACAATGCAATACTTGTATCGACTTGTATCCATGCAACCCCAAAGAAAATGGCACTAGCTACAACAGACTGGTAAAATATGTGCAACATCTGACTGCTCACATCAAAGGACCTCAGTCTTTTCAGGAAGAAAAGTCTGCTCTGACCCTTCTTGAAGACAGCATTGGCCTGAGCTGAGAAGGGCTCTTGTGAAAGTCAATGATTATCAGCGTAACAATGAAAATTGAGTCCATGGTGACGGATGATATGGCCAACGGGAAATTTGTAGATGATGAAAATGAGGGGTTGTGTATTTGTTTATTGTCGGAGAGGTAGTAGGAGAACCAGGAGATATGCTGATGGATTGAAGATGGTGGAGAAGGCAGTGACAATACCACAGCATCCCCACAGATGGTTGGGATAAGCAACACTCCCATGTAGGGTTGAAGTGGGGAAAAAAACATTCTACAAGACTTTTCAACTTGAAGGCACACAGTTGTAAAGAACATAATTTGGAGAACATAGACCTTTGGGGTGGAGATTTGCTGTCAGTCTGCCCCAAAGTTTCCGATATTGGCATGGATGGAGCAAAAAACATGATGAGTGATTAGTTCAACATGTGACGAAAGCAGAATATATTTTCTTGACCATGTGATATTCTTTCTGTTTGAAGCAGCCATGAGACAGCACAGCAGCAGATGTTGTAATAATTTAAGTATTCAAAGAGACTAGTGCTACGTTTCCAGATCTGAACAGTCCACAAACATGTTTAAGATAAGATAATATTGACTTTATTGATCTCACACTGGAGAAATGTACATGTTACATTTGACATAGATAGAATCACACGACAAATCAATAGAATCAAGACAGAAGTGCAAACATGTTAATACGTTTAGTCTGTGCAGGATATATTATGTACAATAAAGAGTGGCAATGAAAGAAAGAGCAACAATAGCAGTGCAGGTTTTTCAGTCCTAGTGCATTAGTGACTTATTGTACAGTCTGACAGCGGTGGGGATAAAGGCCCTGCGGTAGCGCACCTTCTTGCACTGAGGGTGCCTCAGTCTTCCACTGAAGGAGATCCTCAGCTCCTCTACAGTCCTGTGCAGTGGGTGGGAGGTGTTGTCCATGATGGAGGTCCATGAAGGAGGTCCGTTTAAAGGCCAATATGGACCCAGGTATTGCAAAGTTATTCTTGTTTAAAACTATTGAAATCGATATGTATAAGTTACAGTACAGTTGATAAATTGAACTTGATTGCCTGCTGATATGATTGTGTGTGTGTTGTGAGGGCGCTCAGTTCTCGATTAAGGGTGTGATTTGTCCCGTCCCTTTGTCTTGTGTGTGTACCTGCTGGATTTAGTGACTTGCAGCTGGCCTCATACCTCCTATCTGCTCTGGGCTATTGATGCTCCACTGGGATGAACAATGGCTTGTGTTGTGTTGCAGGCACGCCTCTCTCCGGGGATCAGGGCGGAGCCGGGACCGCACTCCTTAACGTCCTCCATCTATGACGAGATACAGCTGGAGATGAAGAGGGCCAAGGTGTCTCAGGCATTGTTCGCCAAGGTGGCAGCATGCAAAAGCCAGGTACTGTCCTTACACATGATCTATGAATGTATATATAATTTATACATACATATATATATATATATATATATATATAATATATATATATAACGCATTTGACGCATGTGCCGAATGACCTGCCCATACATCCCATAATAACACAAAGTGACGCAGACACATGCGTGTGAGATGGCGACAGAGTAGGTAGGCATTAGTTAGCATTAGCACAACTTCTTATAAGCTGTACAGCAATCACTGATGAAATGGTACCAAAGCAACGCAATGCTAATTTATTTATTGTTCATTTTGTTGGGGCAGTACATGTTAATGATCACTCCCGATTGGAGCCATGGGCTAATGGATGTATGTTGAAACTACATACATCCACCACAGTATGTGCTTCTTTAGTCCCAGTCCAGGCCTGGATTAGAATAGTTAAAGATAAAGTTCTCGCTAAAACATTGAGAGTACCATCCTACAAGCCAATTTATTACATCCATTTTGAAGTGAAACAAAACCACAATTTAACTTCAATTTATTTTCCGGTATAAACTCTATAACTTAAGTAACTCAAAATGTTTCAGTTGTAACATTAAAACAAATACAACTTTGTTATGAAAATGCTTAGCTTAAAATCCGTTTTGTAAGAATGTCTCTTTCGCCAGAAATTGATACATAGAGTAGGATTATAAGGCACACTGTTAACATTAAAGACATATTGCGTTACTGTAAGAAACAGAGCTGGACTATGGAGCCTTAAAGTGGTTCTCACCCTCGCTCCTCGAGGCCTACGTCACTCACATTTCCTGTTCAAATCTCCCTCCAAATGGGCGTAGCCTGGAGGACTAAAGGGGACAGGCGGGGGCGTGAACGAGACTGGGCCGTTTATATACCTCAGGGCGTGGGGCTGCCGACGTAACGAGCCACTGCAGACGAAAGCGGCCTCTGCTGCGCCAATGGTGGCGCTAGATTCAAAATTCAAATGTAGTAATACAGGTCGCCTGCAGATGGCGCCTCACAGAAGTTGAACGTTCAACTAATTTGCACCAAAGTGACAAAATTATGACCAGGATACGTACACAACACTATTGGACACTCATTTATACCGTTTATTTGCAAAAAAAAAGGATTTGAGGGTGAGTTGTCCTTTAAGTGTCCATGTCCTCCCCATGTCTCTAAATTAAAGCTGTAGTACCTATATTTTCCCTTGCATTAATAATGCATAATAATATTGGTTGTGCCCAAAATTATAATGTTGTGAACAAATCAAACAGAACATTGTTTTGATTTTTTGTTTTGTTGCATTTTTAAGAAAGAGCCCTGTGAGTCATTATTTGACCTGGATTGAGTGGATTATCTGAGCTGATCTAAACTTTAGCATTGAAAAGAAGCAAGTATAAAATCTTGATTAAGAACTACGCAACAAATGGAGTGAGAACCAAACACCATCTCCTGGTACTCATCTGAGTACCTCACTGAAAAAGTTATGTGCACCTCTCTATATTATGTTCCTTGACTAGTTAAGCACACTGAACAGTATTATATTTTTATCAATTGAAAATGTAGCTGCATTCACAATGTTTGTCAAAAATTGCAAATATTCCATCCCATGCATTTATCCAGTCATCTCCCCTTTCTCCTTCCCTTCCTGCCCTCCTCGGCTCTCCTCTTTCCCCTCTTGTGGTGAGCTTGCAGGCTCTTGGCAGCAGCAGCAGTTTGAACTGGGCCAGGATCTTATCAGTGCGCTGCATCTGGGGGCTATTGTGAGCCAACACTGTGGATTCACATAATCGTGTTTCACTACTTCACACGCAGAAACAGTGATTCTCGTTTTCTGCCTTTTGGTGCCTCTGACAGTTGTTAGAGGGCACACTATGCAAAATCAATGTTTGTAGCTTCCTTTAAAAAAGACATGACACACTTAACATCATCGAGGACATCAGTATTGTTTTATGTATATATGTAGGTGTGCGGTCATGTGTGTGTGCGTGTGTGTGCTTAAGGGCATGGAACACCACGGCTGGGATTTTAAACAGAAGGTCCTTGGTTCGAATTCCGGTCTGAACAGGGCAACAACGCGCTGTTGTGGAGCAAATCTGTTCTCCTCATAATATAAATTAGGCCATCTAAAGGGGGAAAATTACTATACTAACTTAAAATTCTCTAAAATAATGAACACTTGTCTGAAGCTCAAGATGAGGAAGGAAGATTTATAAAGATGTATGGAATAATTGAGGGGTATGAAATAACATTGACTGATACCTATTTGGACACTCAAAGACGCTCTACATGTCATTATTCTTTCACTCCATACACAGTGGTGATAAACTACTACTGTAGCCACAGCTGCCTTGGGGCACATTGACAGAAGCGAGGCAACCAGTATGTGCCATCGGCCCCTCCGACCACCACCAACCATTCACACACACACTAGACCAGGGGTCGGGAACCCAAAATGTTCAAAGAGCCATAATTGACAAAAAAACCTAAAAACAACATCTGTCTGGAGCCGCAAAAAAATAACAGCCTTGTATAAGGCTTTTATGAAGTTAACACAGGCTGCAAGATGTATTAGCTATATTAGCATAATATCTAAATGACAAAGTAAAGGCTGCAAATACATAATAATCATTCATGATTATCAAATGTGTATTTTCACTGCAGCGTGTCGCACCACGCGTGTCGTGAATGACGCAACACGGGACAACTCTGCTTTAGTTTAACTTCCATTTTTTTGCCTTCATGCAATTGTAGAAATACAGAAAAATCAATCTGCTTTGGGCTCAGAGGTCACATACCTGCATCACTGTCTGCTCATATCCATCACGTCACAGGCTGAAGTTTGCTGGAGCTGAATTAAAATCCTTAATGGCCTTTTCTTTCACCGTCTTTGAGAAGGTTTTGAAGGCTGAAAATAGGTGCTCTGAATTTTTGATGAATGAATCCTTCACGTAATCACCGTTTACGTCGTTTTGCGCGTCATTGTTCCTCGTGTTGCAACAAAACTTTTCATTACAAACATGAAGCAGTCCTTCCTCATTGACTGAAAGAAAATGTTCATTCTCATTCTTAGTCCAGTCTTGTTATCGACTCTTTAGCTTTGGGATCCATGTGCACTTACAGTCTATGATGCACACACGCGGGTTTGTTTACAGCAGCGGCCGCATGGGGCGGGGCCGCGTGACCGTGCGTCATAGGATATGACGCACTACGTTGACAGAAATGTTGAAATTAGATATTACTTATACATATTTTTACAGCATTTAAAAACGTAAAGATTGTTTTTCCTTCTACAAAAACCACATTCAAACTAGAAATAAAATATAGCCCTCACACTCCATTTTCAGACATTTTTGAAAAGGCTCCAGGAGCCACTCCAGGAGCACTCAAGAGCCGCATGCGGCTCCGGAGCCGCGGGTTGCCGACCCCTGCACTAGACTCATTCTAGGCAATGGGGGTCACAACGGCAGTTTGGCACTTTAGAGCCGCAGCCGCCCCACTGTGGCATCAGGTGTTCCCAGAGGTTAAGTGTCTTGCCAAGGACACAACGACAGCAGACAGTGGGAGTCGATGGTGAAAGTCTTGAGGTGGGCTCAAACCCACAACCCTCTGGCTCAAAGGCCAAGAAACAGGCCAAAATGTGGTAAAATTGTGTTTTTGGTTTTTATTGATTGATTGATAACTGACTAAGACATGCACAATTGGCTTTAAAAGCACCGTAAAAGTCCATGTTGCATGTTCTGCCTTTTATTTGTTTGAAGCAGTGTGATGGCTCTCACGTGTGTTCAGGGCTGGCTGTGTGAGCTGCTGCACTGGAAGGAGGAGCCCAACCCCGACAACAGGACGCTGTGGGACAACCTATGCACCATCCGCCACTTCCTCAATCTGCCCCAGAGCGAGCGTGATGCCATGTACGAGCAGGAGAGCGGCCTGGGACACGGCGAGCAGCGCGCCTTCATCTGTGACCGAGCTTTGGTGGGTCACAGCAACAACTTTCCGAAAGTGTTCTAGGAGACATGATATGCACAATTTCTTTTGCCCACTATTACCCATGTCACAATGCTGTTCCCTCATCAAAAACACAACTGGACTTGTTTTTATTTATTCCATCCACGCTATAATATCAAGCAAAAACATGTCCCCTGCCCATTCTGTTCCAATGTTCTTGTTTATATAGATAGATACTGTAGATGCCAGTGGGGGGCAAGCTACTTGATTTGTGTAGTGAGCTAAGCTCACTCTACAATAAATTCAGCTTCACAACACAGATGCTACCACCAGTGTTGGCACGTTACTTTGAAAAAGTAATTAATTATAGTTACTAGTTACTTCTCCCAAAAAGAGTTAGTAACTGAGTTACTCCACTATAAAAGTAACTAGTTACCAGTAAAAGTAACTATTGCGTTACTTTTTCGTATCTTTCTGGAACATAATGTGCACTCAACGTGCACATTTTTACCTTTAACCTCAGTGAGTTTGAAATAGTGCCGATATTTCTTGCCGGAGTCCTCCTCACTCTCCATTTTTCTCTGTGTGCTGTAAGCACTAAACACCCGCCACTGTGAACGTGGAAACACCCACCAGTGACATGCGGTGAGGTTGGTGATTGGTGAGGCACTGACTTCACCACAATCAGATGAACATATATATCTTATAAATCAACAGGACCAAGAGAGTGGCTAATCACAATTTGTTTAGCTACAGCAGAATATGTTTCATGCTCTCATTGTTTGCTCATACTAAACGCAAAAGTTTGAAAAAGCATATTTAAATGTGTGTTATGGGCCTTGCTTTAAACATGACTTGCACAGACTTCTTTTGACAGGATTTTGTAACTTAGCTTGCTACATTTTCATGGGTGGTAGCCAGTGATAAACGGCGTTACTAACGCTGTTACTTTTTTCAGTAACGAGTAATCTCACTAATTACTTAGTTAATAGTAGCTACTTTCCATTAGGTCAACTGCAGTCTGCATTTTAGTGATAAATATAACTGTAAGTCAGAAAAAGGTTAGAATTCAGATATTTATTGAACAATAGCCCAAAACACCAAAAAACAAAACACAATTTGCAATATGCCTCATATTGCATTAAAAGTGATTTCCATGTCTTGATTCGTTCATATTTAAACTTTTAAAAAAATTCACAGACTTTATGTCCGCTATCTCGGATTGCTTTCACTGCCGCCTGAGACACGCACGAGAAGGCGATGCAAACCCGTTGTAACACCGGCGATCCTGATTGGCCGATTATTTTTTGATCTCCTGAAGGAGTTTGCAATGCGCTCTATCCCAGACCCTTGTGTGTGAAGCGAAACTCCTCTGGTGGAGCATGGCGGAACTACAAGGGTCTGATGAGAATCAGGCTAGGTGAAACCTGCATTTGAAAGCCAGATGCCGTCAGACCTTTGAAGGGAGACCTCTGGGTACACCACGTGCCACTGTGAGGCAGCTGTAAAGTGCCAAACTGTCAATGTGTCCTTAGGCAAGACGCTTAACCCATGTTAGATAGATGGATAAATACTTTATTGATTCCAAAGAATTTTATCCATTAGTCCCTTGCTCACATTTGCACAAACACAGCAAGATAAATAAAAAGTAAAAAAAAAAAATAGCAACACATTGACACATTACTTAGAATGAGTGGTTGATGGTGGTCTTAGGGCCGATGGCACATACAGGTTGCCTTGCTTCTGTTAGTGTGCTCCAAGGCAGCTGTGGTTACAGTAGTAGTTTCTCAACGTGAAAGGAGTGCAAGGAGTATAAGAGTATAAGAGTTTAATATTGCAGAATTGCAACGTGTGACCACACAGGTACCAGTGGATGCTATATGCTTTATCTACTAGTTTGACAATATTTTGTGCAAAGGTTATTTTCCTTTCACCAGTGTTTACATATTACTTTGAGAAGTCATTTAGGGTATATCATTTTGAGGACGAAATAATTGGGGTACTATCCACTTTTCACGGTGGCGCAGTGGATAGTACTTGGTTTGAATCCACCTCCAGACCTTTCTGTCAAAACGCCTTTCTGGAGTTTGCATCCCAGATGTTCTTTTTTTCATTAATCGCGTTGAACAAAATAACGCATTAACGCATGTCCCGAATGACCATGCATTGCATAATAACACTGATGATATTTACACTTCTAGCGTTATACGCGACGGACATATGACGCAAGGCTGCGCCTAATTTAGGATGGATTTCTAATTTTGTGCGCGCAGCAACGCGTCTCCCATTGAAAACACATGTGAAACAGGATTTTTCTAGCGGCCCTTGGCTTTAGATCGCTTCTACACACACACAGCCCTTTTATCTAAACATTAGCAGGAGGACGCACAGAGACCATGAAGACAAACACATGCATGTGATTTGTGTTGATCTACATCAGTCCTGTGGCCCGCACTGTCCTCTAGGAAGGAGAGAGACGGGAGGAGGGAGACTGATGCGTGGAGGGAGAGAGACGTAAGGAGGGAGAGAGACAGGAGGACAGAGAGAGACGGGAGAGGGAGGGAGACAGGAGGAGAGAGAGAGACGGGGGAGGGAGGGAGACTCGAGGAGGGAGAGAAAGGGAGAGACGCGAGGAGGGAGAGAAAGGGAGAGACACAAGGAGGGAGGGAGGGAGACAGGAGGAGAGAGAGAGACGGGGGGAGGGAGGGCGACTCGAGGAGGGAGAGAAAGGGAGAGACGCGAGGAGGGAGAGAGACGTGAGGAGGGAGAGGGACAGCGAGAAAGGGAGAGACGCGAGGAAAATGAACAAGAATTTAAACAAGTTGTAGAACTCTTGAGCAGTGTTTGAATTGGTGTTTTTCAGGGAAGCACTATTATGCAGCTATCTGGTAAATTTTCAACCTAAAACACAGAGACTGACAAATTCCTCCCCCGCGGCCGGACTAACCTCTTAAGTCCAGCGTGGTCTCTCAGTCTATATTATTTCTTGCTTTGATTGAAAGTCCAGTTGATAAAAGAATCTTCAGCCAAACCATTAATTTTCCAACAAAAGAAATAACACCGATAGGACCATAGACTGTATGATATGTTTATACACAGCTGATTCAATGAGCTCAACTTTTCAATAAATTATGGCTTTTAATGCAACTTAGAAAAAACACTGTCTACTACAGAAAGACAAAATGTGAATAATGTTAATGGTGTTTTATGTGGATTTCTTGTTAGAATAAAAAAATACACTACATACTGTATGTACACTATGTTGTTATTTATTCTTCCATTTAAACAACCATTTACAGAAAAATATGCCATAATTTAGTTCACAATGTGATTAATTACGATTAATTAATTAATTAATTAATTTTTAAACTGTAATTAACTTTGTATTTGTTTGAAAGCCCTAACATAAAACAATTGGAGTCTGTCCATCTGTAAAATGTACAATTATCCAACATATCTGCTTCTGCTTCAGCTTCAGCCATCTTCTACCACAGAGATCACCAACCTTTTTAAATCCGAGGACGACCACAAGATGACCAAATGGATCGAGGACCACTATATATAGTTGAATGCACAGATCAGTCAAAAATGGGGAATTGTACATGACCCCAGTCATTTATTTTATTTCAACATGCATTATTATTTAAACATCCAAAGTTCAACTATTATATATTAATTTCAGTCTAGCCCTTGCTAGTCCTTTTTAACCGTGTTAACACTGCCTGCTTGTCCTACTATTGCTACTAGGTTAATGCTATTGAAAATGCCCTTTTGTACCTTGTGACATGATTTTTGCTTGTTTTTGTTTGCAGTACCAGCGCATTACCCCACAATTACAGCAGCTCCCACACTCCGAGATCCGACATCTCTCTCCAGGAAACCACCAAGATTCCTCCCCCACTGAACGTAGGACACAAGGATTCTGGGGACCCCACGGAAGGCCACCAGCTCCCTGCAAAGAGAGAGGGGGACACGACGACAGAATTAACGGAGCGATTGGGGAGTGCGGATTACCACAGCACTGCAATATCAAACAGGAGAGTAAGGCCGAGATCCAGGCACAGATACAAGCCTTAAAAGTGTCCACAGAGGCCATTGGGATCCTCCACAGCTTCATCCAGGAGGTGGGACTGCCACCAGACGAGGAAGCGGTCTACACTCTGTCCGCTCAGTTAGGCCTGCCCCCACACGCCATCCACAACTTCTTCAACAGCCAAAATATTCACCCAACCAGAAAGGGCTTAAGCTGCACCCCTGTGGAACATCCAAGTGGAGAGACTGATAGTGAACTTGTGAAGTCAGAAATAGACTCTGACGTGGCCCAGCTGGTGGAGTTACAGGATCTGGAATCGGGGATGTCCCATCGGCAAACAGAACTGCCAGAGAGTGAGGTCTTGGAGATGGATGTGGGGACTCAGACTGTGTGTGCGCTAAAAGAGGAACAGACAGACTTCTCCACAGACTTGGACACCCCCGAATGTGTATGATCAATTTTGATATGAGCGCAGCTGTGTTATTTATTAGGTCATTCTAGATTGGTGAGTTGGAAACATTGTTTGATTTAATGTTTAAATGTACATTGAACATAAATGTAAAAGGACAAGTGACAATTGCTGTAATTTGTTTTTGACTTCACTCTTTTGTGAATCATACATGTGCAGGTTACTATAGCCACCTCCGCAAACTGTCTATAAATGTCTATAATGGCTGTGACTCACCCTCTGGCCTGGGTTGGTTAGTTGTGGTTCGAGTTTGGTCATCCGTCTTCATAGGAGTTTTCTAATCCAGTGTGGGGGCGGAGTGGCAGTCCAGGAGGTTACCAGACTGGTTTCACTTGCTGCGTGCTGAATGCATGCCAAAGCACAAAAGCCAGACACATTGGGTCACTTGCTAGTCTAAAATGTACAATTAACGTGGTTTTCTGCCAAAAATGTGTTTTAATTAAATCTCCTTGACTATTCAACACTTGCCCATCATGTATTTATTTAAATTTAGAAGCACAAGTGGCTGAGAATTACAGTGATTGTAGACAAAAGTCTATTAATTTCTTTTTCTTTATGACGTGCTCTGCTGTGGACTCCAGCATAGACTTTTAGGAATGTATATATGTATATTATTTTATGAAACATTTTCATTTTACCAACAAAATTGGAGGACCACCATTTTCAGTAATGTATGTATCAACTATGTTGTGTTTGTACTTTTGTTCAGTGTATGAATACTAGAGCTGCACCAATTGATTGATCGCCAGTCATGATTGGGTGGGCAAGATGAGCCGAATGCGCCAATCAGATGGACCAATCAGATAAACTGATCACATTTCCACTTTTTTGAAACAATATAAAGGCCCGTGCTCCATGCTCCTCATTCAGCACTGTGGCTTTTCATCTCTCCTTTGCTCCTTAAGTTTTGCCTGTGTTCTATTACCTGTGTGTATAAACGGCCAGCTTCACTGTGTTTATGAGACAAAGTTATGCTATGCTCGCGTTGCTTCTACAACATATAATTTCATCTAATCTCTTTGTCTTTACTCACACTTTCCTCTGCTAGTTTTATAGATCAATCACATACAGCTGTGTTTCCCGTCTGGGAGTACATGAATCCCTAGGGGTGTGTGAAAGTATTACAGGGAGTCCTTAAATTTTTTTTTCCTTACAGCCATCCTGTGTTATTTTTTACAGCTGCTCCATATGAAAAACATGTTAAGTAATAACAAATGTGACCTTTTTAAGAATATTTACCTCCACCATGTTTTTTGAATTGTTTTCAGAGGCTTTGAATTTAACTTAAAAGTGTCCATGAGAGAGGAGTGCTCTCCGTGTAAATGCGCCATCTTGAAAAACAGTGGTGGATATGAGACAAAAAGAATGCGAGAATCACATTTTCGTTTCACATGAGCTACTAAACATGCCTTCACAAGTTGGAAGAAGGAACCATGGAGGACCACTGTTATATAAAAGAACCATGGAGGACCACAGTTATGTAAAAGAACGTTCCGGACGATACGGAAGCTTGTTAGGTTCACTTGTGAGTGTGTTTTTTTTCCCGCTGGTATCATGTTATTTCATGATACTTTCATGTTATTTCAAGATAATTTCATGTTTGTACAAGATACGGATCATGTTATTTCATGATATACAACTATCATGTTATTTCATGATACCAAATTATCATGAAATATCATGTTATTTCATGATAATTTGGTATGAAATAACATGATATTTCATGATAATTTGGTATCATGAAAAACATGATAGTTGTGTATCATGAAATAACATGATCCATATCATATCCCCATTTATCAAACTAAAGTATTCTTTCCTTGGCAGTATGGTGAATGACTGAGAGTTGAGGGGCACTGTCAAAGACCGTGCTCCTCAACTCAAAGGCTTACGTACTATATTGGACTGCAATATAAGATCTCAACGCTAGATGGCACTAAAAATTACAGTGCACCTTTTAAGAAGAAAGTCCTTCATTCGTCCCATTGATGAATACACATCAAACATATTTAGTCAGCCACCAGTTGTGCAAGATCTTCCATTTAAAAAGATGAGGTAGGCCTGAAATTTCCATCATTGGTAAACCTCAACTATGAGAGACAGAATGAGACATAAAAATCCAGAAAATTACATGATCTGATTTTTAAAGAATTTATTTGCTAATTATGGTGGAAAATAAGTATTTGGTCAATAACAAACAAGTACGATTTGCGGCTCTTACAGACCTGTAACTTCCTCTTTAAGAGGCTCCTCTGTCCTCCGCTCGTTACCTGTATTAATGGCACCTGTTTGAACTCATTTTCAGTATGAAAGACACCTGTCCACAACCTCAAAAAGTCACACTCCAATCTCCACTATGGTCAAGACCAAAAGGCTGTCAAAGGACACCAGAAACAAAATTGTAGACCTGCACCAGGCTGGGAAGACTGAATCTGCAATAGGTATATAAGCAGCTTTGTTTGAAGAAATCAACTGTAGTGGGAGCAATTAGTAAGCGAATGGAAAATCTCCCTCGACATGGGGCTCCACACAAGATCTCATCCCGTGGGGTCAAAATGGTCAAGAATGGTGTGCAAAAATCCCAGAACCACACGGGGGGACCTAGTGAATGACCTGCAGAGAGCTGGGATCAGTAACACACTACGCCACCAGGGACTCAAATCTTGCAGTGTCAGACGTGTCCCCTGCTTAAGCCAGTACTTGTCCAGACCCGTCTGATGTTTGCTAGAGAGCATGTGGATGATCAAAAAACATTGGGAGAATGTCACATGGTCAGATTAAACCAAAATAGAACTTTTTGGTAAAAACTCAACTCGTCGTGTTTGGAGGACAGTTGCATCCAATAGAACATATCTACTGTGAAAAATGGAATTGGAAACATCATGCTTTGGGGCTGTTTTTCTGCAAAGGGACCAGGACAACTGATCCGTGTAAAGGAAAGAATGAATGGGGCCATATACTTTGCCTTGCGAAAGTATGCGGCCCCCTTGAACCTTTCAACATTTTGCCACATTTCAGGCTTCAAACATAAAGATATGAAAATTAAATTTTTTGCCAAGAATCAACAACAAGTGGGACACAATCGTGAAGTGGAACGAAATGTATTGGATAATTTAAACTTTTTTGACAAATAGAAAACTGAAAAGTGGGGCGTGCAATATTATTCGGCCCCCTTGCGCTAATACTTTGTAGCGCCACCTTTTGTTGCAATTACAGCTGCAAGTCGCTTGGGGTATGTCTCTATCAGTTTTGCACATCGAGAGACTGGAATTCTTTCCCATTCTTCCTTGCAAAACAGCTGGAGCTCAGTGAGGTTGGATGGAGAGCGTTTGTGAAAAGCAGTCTCTTTCCACAGATTCTTGATTGGATTCAGGTCTGGACTTTGACTTGGCAATTCTAACACCTGGATACGTCTATTTGCGAACCATTCCATTGTAGATTTGGCTTTATGTTTTGGATCATTGTCCTGTTGGAAGATAAATCTCCGTCCCAGTCTCAGGTCTTTTGCAGACTCCAACAGGTTTTCTTCCAGAATGGTCCTGTATTTGGCTCCATCCGTCTTCCCATCAATTTTAGCCATCTTCCCTGTCCCTGCTGAAGAAAAGCAGGCCCAAACCATGATGCTGCCACCACCATGTTTGACAGTGGGGATGGTGTGTTCAGGGTGATGAGCTGTGTTGCTTTTACGTCAAACATATCGTTTTGCATTGTGACCAAAAAGTTCAATTTTGGTTTCATCTGACCAGAGCACCTTCTTCCACATGTTTGGTGTGTCTCCCAGGTGGCTTGTGGCAAACTTTAAACGAGACTTTTTATGGATATCTTTGAGAAATGGCTTTCTTCTTGCCACTCTTCCATAAAGGCCAGATTTGTGCAGTGCACGACTGATTGTTGTTCTATGGACAGACTCTGACACCTCAGCTGTAGTTATCTGCAGCTCATCCAGAGTGATCATGGGCCTCTTGGCTGCTCTGATCAGTCTTCTCCTTGTTTGAGATGAAAGTTTGGAGGGACGGCCGGGTCTTGGTAGATTTGCAGTGGTCTGATACTCCTTCCATTTCAATATAATTGCTTCCACAGTGCTCCTTGAGATGTTTAAAGCTTGGGATATCTTTTTGTATCCAAATCCGGCTTTAAACTTCTCCACAAAAGTATCTCGGACCTGCCTGGTGTGTTCCTTTGTCTTCATGGTTCTCTCTGCGCTTTAAACAGAACCCTGAGACTATCAAAGAGCAGGTGCATTTATACGGAGACTTGATTACACACAGGTGCATTCTATTTATCATCATCAGTCATTTAGGACAACATTGGATCATTCAAAGATCCTCACTGAACTTCTGGAGTGAGTTTGCTGCACTGAAAGTAAAGGGGCCGAATAATATTGCACGCCCCACTTTTCAGTTTTTTATTTGTTAAAAAAGTTAAAATCATCCAATAAATTTCGTTCCACTTCACGATTGTGTCCCACTTATTGTTGTTGATTCATGACATTTTATATCTTTATGTTTGAAGCTTGAAATGTGGCGAAATGTTGAAAAATACTTTCGCAAGGCACTGTATCATGAGATTTTGAATGAAAACCACCTTCCATCAACAAGGGTGTTGAAGATGAAACGTGGCTGGGTCTTTCAGCATGACAAATACACCGCCCGGGCAACAAAGGAGAGGCATAAGAAGCATTTCAAGGTCCTGGAGTGGCCTAGCCAGTCTCCAGATCTCAACCCCATAGAAAATCTTGGGGGGAGTTGAAAGTCTGTGTTGCTCAGCGACAGCCTCAAAACATCACTGCTCTAGAGGAGATCTGGATGGAGGAATGGGCCAAAATATCGGCAACAGTAAACATTTGAGCTCTGTCACTGCCTACAAAGGGTAACAAAATATTGAGATGAACTTTTGTTGTCAAATAATTATTTTCCACCAAATAAATGATTTACAATTTAGACAATGTGATTTTCTGAATTTTTTTTCTCACATTCTGTCTCTCA